AAATCCCAAAATCAATCCAAATTCAAACTACTATCAGAAAGCTTCCAGATCTTGTTAGAAGCTGGAAATCACATTACAAAATATCCCAACACAAGGAGTATAGACAGAAGTGTGACTATTCTTTAAAAAGCCTACTAAAAAGGGCCTCCCATGGTGGTGCAGTGGTTGAGTGCTGGGCTGGGAAGTTGCCCGCAGCCTCTGCAGTGCCAGTTCAATCCAGGCCACCAGAGAGGGTCCCACATGGCGCAACAGACCTCTCCTGTCGTGCCCGCTGCTCCCCTCAGCAGTGTATTTCAGTCAGTCTGCCTGTTCTGTTTCCCACTCTGGCTCTGGTGAATTCTCTCACCCTCCCGTGCTTCTGACTGTACCCAGTGCTTGTATAAATAAATAAATCTTTAAAAAAAAAAAAAAACTAAAAAAAAAGCCTACTAAAAAGTTTTCATTTGATTAGTTCACTGATGTGTGTGCTAACCACCCAGAGCAACACCTAACCCATGTGTGCTGCAGAAATATTACCTGAGTGAATGATTCACGTGCCCACAGCTCCTGAGTCAGAGGCACACCCATAAATCATGCCTCTTCTGTTGCAAATCCTTACAATGTAAAAACTACATTGTTTGTGAGTATTTGCACTTAAATTCCTGTCTCTACTGTTCTTTTAAAGTTAAAATCACCTTTATCACCTTTCACAGTTTCCTTTCTCTTTGATTCTTTTGTTCTTCAAAGTCAAACTATTTGCTTCCAGAGACCACAAAGCACACCATATTTCATGGAATAGTCTCCCTCCAAGCACTTTTGAGATTTTTCAAAACATTTTCTCCTTAATCTCCACAACTACATCTCCTTTCTCTGGCCCTCCCTTTTCCAGCCAGGTTGTTTCCTTCTTTTTTTTAAAAGATGTAACCATCTGAGACACACAGAATGACCACTTGCCAAATGCAGGAGAGAGCCTTACAACCCTGGCCCAAGGAACTTTCTGAAAGAAGCAACTGTACAGAGTGACAGACAGGTGACATGGAAAAGCCAGGGTCAGATATTGAGATGTTTGCAGACCTGACTCATTTCTTCATCTGTGCGATGGCCACATGAGCAAAGTGAGTTAAAAGATAAAAGGAATTCACTAGATAATTTAGCCTCATGGATCTAGATTTTCTAGATATATATATAGTTTATGAATCAAACAGGTATGGTTCTTGATAGTGGATTGAAGAAGAAGTGGATTACTCCGCTCTCCACTTCAAAGTCTCATGTAGTTCTTGGAACTGAGTTCTTTCCAATAAGCAACTAACATTCTCTACAAAAAAGAATTTTTTAAATCCATCAATAATTAGGGAATTGATTCAACTGTTTCTGTGTGAGGTAGCATTCCTCATATACTCACCCAAATGACAGATTGTTCAAATGCTGTAACATGTGTCATTACCTTTCCAGCAGGCCCCTGCCATCTGGGCTGGAAATTCTTTTTAGAAAAAATAAAATACTTTTATATTTACAGATAAAACTGAAAAAGCAAATATCCATGGGAAAGGAAACTCCCAACTTCCAATTTTCCATCATTTGTCCAAATCACCTTGGCTCAAATCATTTGTCCAAATCACCTTATCAGCATTTTCAATTCCCTCTCTCTTTACATCCAGACACTAAGTCCTGCCAGTTCTTTCTCTGATGTATTTTTCAGCATCTTATTTTACATTTCCTCTGCCAGCATCCTACATTTTGGTTTTTATTGCTTCACACCTGCATCGTTGAAATCATCTACAAATGACACTCTACTTTCATTATTAGTAGTGCCCTCTGACTAAAACCTTAGTTCTGGCTTTAAACCTGGTATTATAACATCTGCACAAATGACCCTGGGTACTTTTTTCTACATTTACCCACTATTATGTAAAACATACTCTTTAACTAATGTGGTCTAATAGAAACCTGAGCCCCGCAGTGTGGACTTCCGGACAAGACTGGCATTTTCCCACTGCTGCCTAAGCACCAGGAGCCAAAACATGGTGGTTTTCCCCACCCATGCCAAAAGTTGCCCTCAGTGTGCAGTCCCTTCCTCAGATGCCAACCATATTAATTAAAATGATCTAATCAGTCACTAGAATTGAAAATGGTCCAATAAGGAAGATACCAACTAGAGGGAAACTCTGAAAAATGACATAAAACAGGGCAGGAGTCATATTGGAATGTCCAGACTCCCAGATGCCCTGACACCCAGACACTGAGGCTCCCATTCTGTTCCTGACCTCTGAGGAAGAAAGAAGAGGCATACAGCAACTGACCTCCAAAGAGAGAAACTGAAGAACTTCATAGTGACTGGGTGGCTGCATATGCCTCAGATCCTGCCAGTGCCTGAAAAGAGCACCCAAGAATCAGGCCTGGTGTATCAAAGAGCTGTTTATCTGACCATGTAGCACTGCTTTTCAATGTTTTTACCTCCATTGCTGTCTGGTCCTGTGTCCAGTGCTGTCTGCTCTGACTGTTGTGGGCTGCTGTGGCGTCATCCCAGCGGCCCCACCTCTGAGAACTTCCAGTTGCGGTGAGTTAGCTGCTTGCTGGCTGCCATGAGCTCCAGGCCTGCATTGGTGGGACAGTGTGGGTCTGCTAGACTTAGATGGCCTGCTCCACCACCATCTCGGTTACATGCAGTTCTGCATTCTAATACAAGGTCAGTCCAGACCAGTCAATTAGTTACAAGGCTCCTTCCAGATTTAACAGGAGCAGGATGCTTGATCATCCTGGAAAAATGGGTATGTATCACGAGGCTTGAGTGAAAACGCCTAAGGGCAGGGGCTGACCATTGACTGATGCATGGCCCTAAAGGCTCCAGACTGATGCATGGCCCAGAAGGCTCCAGTCTCCCTCCCAGAGACTGATCAGTAGAAGCCCCTTGTTCAAAAGATTGGAACCAAGAATAGGGGTAATGTTTCTATCTCAACACCAAGTCAAAGTCATCAAGCAGACACTAGAAGACTAAATTTCCCCTCCCCAAACCCTAGACACATGTGCACATTTGCTCAGTTTCACCTCTCCTTTTTTCTTTATTCTCCTATCCTGCCTAATTGACAATTGATGCTATATTATTATTCCATCAACAAAGGCTAGGAGCTTGCTCTTTCAGCAGAATCCTGCATTGGGTAGCCAGCTCCATGACTCCCCTTGGTCAGTGTGATGTGTCAATGCAACAGGACGGCACCATCTGGAATAGGTGACCTTTTGTTCGGGACTACTGGACATTGTGGACACTATCTGGGGTGAGATAGCCAGCCACTTGTGGCCCTAGAAACTCCTTGTTTCACCTGTTTATTAAATAAACCCCATTGTTGTTCCCTGAGCCTAAGTGGTCTTGAAATTGTGTGCATGAGAACCCATAGTGACCTGCCTTCTGCTGGGCACTGTTCTTGGATGGTTATAGCACCCTCATACCCTTGTTTCATAATTGGTATTTCTAAAAGGATCTATTACCTCAAATTTAAATGGCATATTATATGAAAATTACTTGGCAAAAAACACAAACATATGCATGAATTATCCTGTCTTGTACCTACCTCTGGCCACTCTGTTGTCAGACTGCCATAGCTTAATGATTCCCTCCTTATTTACTGGCACTGCCCCTGACTTAGCTCAAAATGAGTCATAGGGTAAGCTGAGAGAACCTAGGTCAGAATAAAATAGGAAAATCCTCTCAGAGGAACAAGGAAGGCTCCAGAGATAAGGGCAACAAATTCCAAAGGGGTATAATCAAACACCTGAGGACTAGGGGCAACAGGACATTCCTGGATGAGGATGATAAAGATAAAAGACTCTAAGATAAGGGCTGGGATACAGAGACATAATTCTGAGCACAGAGACATTAAGGCAGTGAGACCACAAAGAAAGGCTTTAGAATAATTAGGGAAATAAGGTATATATTCCCTGAGGCACGACTCCACTTGGTTTCCTTGCCCCTCCCTGGCCTTATTTCCACAAGCCTGGAAGTCCCTCTTTATTTCTCTGTAATAAACTTTTTTTTCACCCATTTCTCTAAACAAATCTGCCTCTTTTCGCTTGCTTGCCTGAGCATCTGCGAAGTTCCTACTGTGGCTTTGCGAGACACCAACCCATGGTGGTCTAGTGGCTGCGACTCAGAGCTGCCCCTGCAGCCTGGGATCCATTCCTGGCTGGGAGACTAGGCCTGAAAACCTGAAATTATGGTGTCAAAAACATCCTTTCTCTTACCTAGTTACCCCACTCCCCATTCCTCTGCCTTTAGACTCTTTGCTCTCATTTTCAAGACCCTTTGGGTTGAAACAACTTATGGGAAATTTTCAACCTGCATCTTGCTCTGGGATTACCACCTCCATAATCAGCCCAGGTTGCCAGCATCCAGCAATCCACCCCAGGTCCCTATTTGATAGGGAAAAGGAATCAGATTGGTTTTGGAATAAAGAAGTCTGCCTTTTCTCCCCACTTTCTGGATCCTCTACATGGTTTTTCTACCCAAGTTTCCCTACTTACTTCCCACTCACAGTGACCTTTGTCCTCTGAATGCTTATACAGCCAAGCTGCTTTGATTTGTCCTATTTAGATACTTATATTCTATTGTATTTATTTAGCCTTAGTAATTAATTCTTGTACACCCAGGTAAGTTGAAAATCCCTTCAAGGTGACAACACATATTAATTTGTAGTCCCATATTTCAATGTTATCTGACAGACTCTGACACTTGATAGCTGCTAATTGGTTGTCCAGCTTGTTAGTTACACTGGAAGTGACTGATAACAATTCTTTCTCTTAACTGCAGTCTTGACAGAAGTTCAAGATAAAGGCCTGTAGAAAACAGAAAGCCATTGTCCCCTTGGTAGAAGAAATACCAGAACAAAGGCTAAGGAGGGAGATAGCCAGAATCCAAAATAAGATGTGCCAAATGCATCATTTTATTCAAGGTCAGGGATGCATTTATGTAACACTTTTCAAATAAGAAACTCCAAACAGTTTTGTTCTCTCAATTCCTCTGTCTTTGCTTTTCATGACTGAGAGACTATGTTTGTGCATACATTGCCTGAACTAGACTTCATGTAGCTTCAGAGTGCCTTTTTGTTCACCTTAGGGATTGATCTCAATTCGCCTTACCCTGCAACCATCTGATAACAGAACACAGTGGAATTAACAAATACAACATGTGAAGCAAGAAGTGTTAGTGATGATCTTACTAGGGGAAAACAGCATAAGAATTCATTTTTATATGGTAATAGAACTCATATACAAAATCCCACTATCAAATGAGACTCAGGCAGAAAGAAAAATGCCTCTCCAGCTTAACGGAGTGACAAACCACAAAAGAATGAGTTGTTTCATTTTGTCTAGCTGGAAATTGTGAGGAAGACAAAGGAAGAGCCTGAGCATCATCCATTGCTTTAAAAAGCAGGATGGGCCTCTGTTGCTTTTACTAGAGGTTCCATTTCACTTCTACACACCCCTTAACCCCATCCATATTAATTAGACAGATGTCTAAATCTTATCTGTAGGTGTCAGTCAGAGAAAATGCATGGTTCCATGGCAAAATGATGAGATGTGATCTTCTCTTTCCAGAGACAGGATTTAAAAAAAAAAAAAGAAATCACTCACCTAGAATGAGTTGCAGAGCTAAAAACTATATTTATTTCTTTAAGTGTCAGATCCCAGATCTATATATCAGGATCTTCTGATAACTGTATTTTTTAACTTCAATTTTAAATTTATACAAATAAATACAAGTAGACAGTGATTCTGATTACAATAAAGCTTCATGTGTGTCTGGTGTCAGTTTATTGTAGCATTACCATTATTATTAGTCCTTTATTGTCACAGGGATGATTGGAGTCCAATTTTGATGACTATATACTTTACCTTACTATAAATACTTTATTTTAAAAGAAAAAAGCATAAAGGGCTTTTTTGTGCTACTAAGCAGCTCTTTTAGCTTATTCCTCAAATTTATCTATTGTTTCGAAAATTATACTCCAATTGGATGCCCTTTCTCGTGTAAATCCTCCAAAGCAGGAAGAACAAATGTCCACAAACCATTGCTATACAGTTCTATAAAAGACAGAAATCAATGGTAGTCTTAAAATTTCAGATATAATATGTGCTAGCCAAGGCATAATTTGCAAGAGCAAATTTTGCACTTGAATTATTTTGAGTTTAAAATTTATTCTAAAAAATGTAGGAAGACAGAATTTTTTTTTCATAGAGCTCTACTTAAATTATTGTAAGAAAAAAAAATTGAAATTTCAAATGAACAATTGTTGGAGTGAAGTCTGCCTTACTTTCTCCATCAGAGTGCATTATCAGTATTACATATGCATAGACAAAACATCAGTGAATTCCCAGCGTTCTTATACTCTGTCTGTCTTAACAAACATAATGTTTACTCTCAGTTTAGGTTAGAGAAAAAGATACAAAATAGAGGCTTTTTTTTTCAATCTGACAGACAATAAGATGGCTTCAAGTGATGCAACTGTCTTTTCATCTTAAATTGAAACCCAAGTGAACTTTTCATTAGCAATTTTTGCAATATGATTAGTTCTCAAAACAGCAGATACAAACATTCGAAATGTACAGTTGAAGGAAGAGGTGTAAAAAATCGAAAATAATTGTACAATTATGAAAAAGGACACCATTTTTCATCAGAATGTTAGAGGCTAGGTCTAACAAAACCCAATATCTAGACCCTGGCCAATGGATGGGAATTTACATTCAAATGGAGCACCAAAGTAGCTTGCCTTCTGGGGTCAGAAAAGAATTATCACCGGTTTCTCAGCAAAGCGGCAATACTGAAAGAATAATTTTTGAGGGGGAGAAAGCTTTGAGTGCTCCACAAACTCAAACAGCTAGAAGCCGGCTTCCAGTGGATCTATGGTGTAAGGACAGACAGGCCAGGGTGCAAAAGTAACACTGTATGAGATTCTCAGATCTCCCCAAGGAGAGCAAGCCTAGCTAGCCCCACTATTTAAGGTGACCGACTCTGAGGTCACAGCGCTAAGTCTATCAGAACCCATTCCATTGAAAGCCCAGAATTCCTATTAGGAAACCAAGGTCCAGCTTATTCTGGGTGCTGGCCGTCCTGCAGATCATATCCTGTGTCTGTTAGGAAGTGCTCTCCAAAAAGGGCAAAGGGTGAATTAGGAAGAAAGAGTTTGCATCCTTTGTATAAAAGTGCCCAGTCGGGTTTCACCCGGAGCGCCTGCAGAAGCCTGGACCTGCTCCGAGGCGCGCTTCCTCAGCGGGGCAGAATCACGCCTCCCTTAGGGTGTTCCCACTCTTTCCGGCCCCGAGAGCTAACTTTTTCAAGCGGCGCTCCAAGGAACTAGATGGAAGGACGGATCCAGTCGGTTTTAGTCCTAGGCGCGAGCGCCCCGAGCTAGCGGCGCTGAAGACTGGTGGGGAGCCTCGGGCATCTCAGGCCGCTCGGAGTCCCCAGCGAGCACACAAAGGCCGGCGGGCGCCTCCCGCAGTAAGTAAGTGGCGATGCCAACACGTGCACATTCCAGCAACCGAAACAAACCCAAGTCCGCTCTTCCTACTGCTTGTCAGTTTCTTTGGTGAGTGCTGACTCCAAGGCAAGCACGGATAAAAATTTTCCCCATTCCCCTTTGCTCGCACCAACTGGTTAAATCTGGTACTTACAAGTCCACTCTAAGAGACAGGTTCCGGCCACTTGTCTTGAATCCAAGAGAACAAAGCATGGGGCTGTGCGCGGAAGTTATCTGCGAAGTCTACTGTGGGAGTTTGGGATTCCCTGGGGCATCACCTGCACAGGGAAAAAGCAGATCCACCTACCTTACCTGACTAGCAAATTAGTGCATCTGTCCAGGGCTTAAAGGAAGCTCGGAAAGGAAACTTAGGATAAGTCCCCTTGTTGAGCACCCCCCCCCAAACACACACACACACACACAGAGAGAGAGAGAGAGAGAGAGAGAGAGAGAGAGAGAGAGAGAGAGAGAGAAAGTGAACCTTGCTGGGGCATGGGACATTTGGGGAGGTGTTGGAGCAAAGTCCTGAACCTGAAGTCCAGGTTCTAGCAGTGGGGTGATCAGCTGGGAGCCATTACTGACCGCAAGCCCCTGGGTGTGCACAGCTTATATTTGTGTGGATTTTTTTCCTTGCACAGCTGAGACTTAAACTTCCCAGCAATGAGTTGTAGGGCAGAAGAGCGAGTAGGAATAGCTGGGACCAAAACTGATTCGAGGTCAAAGTCTGAGCCTACAGTCAGCTTACAGACCCGGGGAGTGCCTGACCTCCTTCTCTCTAGCCACAGGGGGCCTCTTTGCTTGAAAGCTCTCCTGGGGGAGGGAGGAGGAAGGCGGGAGTGTAAGTTGAGGTCGGAAGCGAAGGGCAGAGCAGCTGAGAAAATCGGAGGACACCTTGCAAGTTATCATAGATGCTGATGCCCGAGGGCTGGGGGAGGCTTACTGGCTGGCTACTCTTCCCTCACTGGCGACAGAACTTGCACTTGATGATCTTCTTAAACGCATTTTGAAAGTCCTTGTTGAAGTAGGCATAAATGACAGGGTTGAGCAGTGAATTGGAGTAGCCCAGCCAGTTAATTATGGCACCCAATAAGGTGGGCATGTGGCAGCTGCTCTCACAGAAAGGCAGGACTAGGGCCACGATGAAGAAGGGCAGCCAGCAGAGGATGAAGGTGCCCATAATGATACCCAGCGTCTTCACCGTCTTTCTCTCGCGGGCCAGGGCCATCTTGCGCTTGGCCTCTGCGTTGCGCTCATTTTTCTTCTCAAAGGAGGCGGGGGCGCAAAGGACAACACCGGCCTCGCTGGGCAGCGGCAGGTGCTCTTTGGAGTTGCCGACCCGGTGCACCTCGATCACCTCCAGGGCGGCGCCGTAGTCGCCCTGCCTCACTGCACCATTGGCACACAGAGCCCCCCCTGCCTTGTTCTCCATGCCCTGTTTCCAGTCTCTGCTACCTGGCTCACCATTTATGCTCTTCTTGGGCTGCAGAGCGGGAGACGCCCCGAGGCGGGTGTTTGCTCCCTTCTTCTCCACTTTCTTGACTGTTTTACGGATACGGAAGCGCGCGGCTCGGAAGATGCGCCCATAAAGAACCAGCATGAGCAGCAGCGGGATGTAGAAAGCGCCGAAAGTGGAGTAGATAGTGTAGCCGTGGTCCTTGCTAATGGTGCACGCGTCGGGGTCGGAGCGGTCTTCGGGAGTGCGCCAGCCCAGCATTGGCGGGATGGAGATAAGAAAGCCAATGAGCCAAGTGAGCGAGATGAGCGCAGCGGCGCGCCGGGGCGTCCTCTTGTTCACATAGTCGATGGGGTCCGTGATAGCCCAGTACCTGTCCAGGGCAATGGCGCACAGGTGCAGGATGGACGAGGTGCAGCACAGTACGTCGAGGGCGATGAACAGGTCACAGGTGACCTGTCCAAGTGTCCACTTGTTGAGCACCTGGTACAACGCTGCCATCGGCAAAACTAGCACCGACACCATGAGGTCGGTGACAGCCAGCGAGCCGATGAGATAGTTGGCTACATTCTGCAGGGAGCGCTCGAGGGCGATGGCGGCCACTACGCACGCATTGCCCAGCACCGCGCACAAGATAAGGGTGCCCAAGAGCAGAGAAGTGATCACTTGGTAGCTGAAGGTCACGTCGGAGGTCCCCGTCGCGTTGCCAAGTGTCCCGAAGGAGCCCTCGGACGTCGTGGTGTTGTTGCCCAGTCCAGGGCCGGGCACCTCCATCCCTGCGCGCCCCTGGAGGGGGAGGGGGAGGGGAGAAAGAGCGGAGCTGGGGTCCCCTCGCCCCTCCCCCGGGGTCGTCCTCCCCTCGCCTTTGGGGAGTTTCTCGCCGAGGGGATGCAGAGACTCAAGCGGGAAGTTCTTACTGCTCGGGTGAAGGCATCTCCGCGGAGCGGCTTCTAGGCGCTCCCTGGGCTCCTGTGGTCCCGTGTGCTCAGAGACTCGAGCTGGGAAACGGGCTGGCCTGAGAACAGCTCCGGGATCTCTGGGCAGCGGAGAGGTGCCTGAAACGTCTGACTCTCGCTGTCCATTTTACTTTGCTGCTGCCCAACTGGCTGCTGGAGCTGGAATCTCCCCACTAGCAATCAGTTTCTAATCCTAGAAGTATCTGGAATAGAGAAACCCCATCGTCCACGGTCACTCGGCCCCCTCCCTGCCTGTCTCCTTCCTCTCCCCCACGCCTCCTTCCTCTTCTCTTTCTCTTAATCCTCCTCCTTCTCGCCCAGTCTCCCCATTAGCCTTCTCTCTCAGTCTTGATCCCCCTCTACGCTCCCCGCTCTTTTTCCCTCCCTGCGTTGCACCGACAGCCAGTCTCCCTCCCTCCCACGCTAATTCTCCCCTCCTAACACTTCCCCAACCCCAAGTGTCTCTTTCCTCTGGTTCCCCGCCCTCCTCTCCCTCAAGCTCAGCGTCTTTGCTTTCAAGCCCCCCTTTTTTGTCGAAAGAGACTCAGAACTGACTTACACACAGCCCGTCCGCCAGTCAGACCAACATTACAACAAATAACTCCGCCTCCCACTAGCCAAACTCGAGAGGGGGGTGGGTGGAGGTTCTAACTACCTAGTGCTCCATATTGCTGTCAAATTCTTAAGTCGAGTCAGCATCACAGAGTGGCGATAGGAAAAGAGATCAGGACACACACGGAGCCTGGATAGGGAGGTGTACAGCCCCGGATCAGTCCGTAAATTGAAGTGAAGAAGACGGAGTGTGTCTTAGCTTTTTAAAAACTACCCCTGCCTTTCATCATTTCATAATCCAGCCTGACAGCCGTGGGGAGGACATTGCCTGTGATATTTATTTTAACCTTGGGGAGTTGTTAGGGGGAGAAAGGAATTTTAAAGGACTGTAAAAGGACAGGTAAGGAGCTACATCTCAAAGAGACTGAAAAAATCTGGTATTATTCTGCACACGCACACGCACACTCACACACACACACACACACACACGCCCTTCCACTACTATTACCCTTTTAATTTCAGCGAATAGCATCACCTCCCATAGTTGCGTGGTGAATAAACTTAGGGAAGGAAATGTTTCGACGATGTGTTGTAAATGAGGCGGACATTTCATACTGCCGCTTTCGGTTCTTACGGTTCTTACCCAGAGCCTAAAAACCTTTCAGAAGAATTATGTGGAATCCCTGGTCCCTGGTCGTTGAGTTTCCCCTAATCTCCGAGACTGGGTTCAGCACCTGGGACAGCTCTAGGCAATAAGGACTTATGTCGCCATCTTCTGGCTAATGCTTTAGAGGGCCATCTAGACACCCTTGTCGTGAAGAAATTAAGCAGGTATGGAGAAAATTCCTAACTTTAAGAAACTAAAAGAAAAGTAACATTTAGTTTAGTTTTTTTCCTGTTTTTTCAAAAATGTCTTTTAGCTTCCTTTTTGCATTTAATACTGTATATCAAGTCTATTTCATAATATATCATTGATATATTCATAAACAATGAGTAAAATAAAAGAAATTTAAATTTTAAACAGTGAATATGTAAACATCAGGGACACCCTTGAACAGGAGTTATGTCAGATTTAGTACATATAAATAAAGGTCAGTCAGCTATTTTGTATTCATTTATTAGATCCCAAATGGTTTAATAACTGGCAAATGTATTTTTTTCTTTTCAGAAAAGTAAAATTCTATAAATCTGGAGTTAATAGTCATGAGATCTGGCATTGGCCATTCTGCTCTAATATTCTAAAATGAATTCTTATTCCTGTTGAAAAAACGCAAATAGTTCATGTTTTCCTTAGAAATAATGTATGTAATATTTCAATCATTTCATTTCTTAAAATTTACAAGAAGGGTTTTAGGCACTCTTATGAACATTAGGCAGAAGAACAGAAATATTAAAGGATAGAGAACACTGATTATGGTTCCATAACTTTCAAGTCACTAATAGAAAATTAATCTTTTATTAAACTAGTAATACTATGATAGTATTAAAAATGGAATGAAGTTACATTTCTTCTTGTTTGCACTTTGCCAATTATTCTGTGTTTACCCTTAAAGATGAAGATATGCCAGAAGAAAATGATACAAACCAAAGATCCTGGATAAAGGATATGATTTTGTTCTTCAAGATCTCTGAAATTAGTTTAAAGAAAGCAGCTAGCCTTAAAGTGAACATTATTGATGATATCATTTGAAAACAAAACTTCCAGTCATTTCTGCTTTTATTTCTTATTTGAATTTACTACATGCAAGTATAAACTTGCCAGTTATGCATCTGAGGGTATGATACATCATCCATCAAGTGAAATTTTTCTAAAATAGCTTATGGGAGATAAAGATTTTTACCATTTTCACAGGAAATTTGATACAAGTTCAGCATTTCAATGTAGTTCTTCAGTCAGGGACATAAGATAAAAGACAATAAGCTGAAGTTTTATCAGGAACCCTGAATGTCCTATCATTATTGAAGGCTCGATAATGATTGGGATGTCTCAGTAATTGATAGAGTTATCCATACTCTCCAAATTATGGCTGATTTTTCTATTAATAAGAGAAGCTATACAGAGTTGATTTTTTCCTTAAAAGATTACAGACGGTATTTCTAAAAGTGTCTACTAAAAATGCTTTATTTTCACTAACCATACTATATTGACTTTAATTCTCCCCAATTCTTTAAATACTAAAGCAATGTGTCAATGACAGTTTTTCCAGAGCTGTACATTTCTACTGGAATTTATCAGAGGAAAAAACTTGAGAAATTTTTGTTTAGCTAATTTAGAAAATTAGTGGTCATTAACTGGTCTTTTGTAAGAAATGCAACCAAAATTCAGGAAAATAAATTCTCCTTTAAAACTGAGCACACTTTTTCAGTGTGTCTTATCTTCACCATTCACCTGCCTCTAAATAAAGCATTCCATCACTGCTATTCCTGCATAGCAGGCACTTGTTAGGGGCCCAGAAATTGGCTGGATTTATAGTAGTTAAACACAAACAAAGCACAAATCAGTCTCTGCTCCTGAGGACTGTAAGACTGACTAAGTTCATTGTACATACTAAAAAGCAGGCAGGCAGTGAAAAGAAAAGTAGGGCCTCCCCTGGTGGTGCAGCGGTTGAGCGCTGGGCTGTGACTGCCCGCAGCCTCTGCAGCACTGGTTTGATCCCTGGCCACCAGCGAGGGTCCCACATGGCATGACAGACCTCTCCTGCCGCACCTGCTGCTCCCCTCAGCAGTGTATTTCATCAGTCTACCTGTTCTGCTCCCCGCTCTGGCTCTGGTGAATTCTTTCACCCTCTTGAGCTTCTGACTGTACCCAGTGCTTGTATAAATACATACATACATACATACATACATACATACATACATACATACATACATACATAAATCTTTAAAAAAAAAGTAATGTGTTCACTAGATGTGTGACCTCAGTTAAATTAATTAACTCTCTTGTTTCCTCACCAGTAAAATGAGTGCAATAACAGGCTTGTGAAGATTAAATGATTTTAATACAATTCAGGGACTCCTAATAAACATCTGAGCAAGGTTAAAAGATAATAGTAATAGTGATGCAAATTAATAATTTTAATTCTCTCTACTGATAATTACTGAGGAGGGTGAAGAAGGAGAATTAGGTGGGTTTAGTGAAAGAGCAAAAGCTGAAAAACAAATACCTCTTATGTGAGGAGTTATGATGGAAACAATGTGAAGGTGGATGTGTTTTTTATAATACTTGGTAATCTTCCAATTCTCTATGAAATTTGCAGTATAAAAGAAGTGAAAAGGATGTAACCTTTGCATTCAGGAACTACTTGACTTAAATCAGACATTACAGAGAAGAAAAAAGAGCATGTCAACAAAAGTTGACTGAATCCATAACGAATAGAAATTTATCCTTTTTCTGGGAACTCAGTCATTTGTTCCAAAGCATAAAATAAATAAGTGAAATTTATAAATACCAATAAATTGTTAAAAGTGAAGTAAAACCAAAAGACAGCATTTTTGTTATAAGAAATTATGAGATTATAAAGAGAGGAGTTAGTAAATGTTTCCCTGAGCGCAATTTCTGTGCACTGTTTTCTTCCTGACAATCTTTTTATGGCTCTCTTTTGAAAAGATAAGAGTATAGTTGAGATGAGATAAAAAAAAATTTAGAACATTAGTTTAATATTTCCTGTTAATTTAAGTATAACTGAAAATTAAATGTAGTCTAATAATAATCTGAAACTGAATTTAATTACTGTATTTAATCTAAAAATAGTTGGAGGAAAATTCCCACATTTTGCTAAGGCAAACAACCTTTTGTTATAATACTAAAACTGTTTAATGTGTTCTTTTAATCTTGTTTTAAAACATGCTACTTATATAAAAGCAGCAATTATGATTACAAGATCTCAATCTCTAGCTGTGCCATATTGTCTATTGAAGCAGGAATAAATTAGTTGGAAATGGTGGCTCGAGGTTGCAATACTGGATTCAAATGTGAAAATCAAAAGCAAAGGGACAACGGCCTTGAAAATCCCCTGAGCAGACTAAGCCAATTTCATCACATAAAGTTTAATTTACTTCAATTTGTGAGACTAACCTAACCTGGGCATTTCTTATTTATGCCTCAGGAAATCTTAGCAAAACTTAAAACAGTTTCCCGGGGTTGATATGAAGTAATCATTGACCACTTCCCTAACATAGAAGAAGATTCTAACACGCTAACCCGTCACCGTGAGGGATAACTACTGCCTCCTCACTACCTAAGTTGCTTTGTAACAATATACTCTGAAATCTCATTTCATGCTTTGGTTTGAGCGCCCCTGGTTTGCAAATTGTCTTTGTGGTGTGTGCACAATAAACTTTTACCAATTACTTACTTCAGTGACTCATTGGTTTTTATTTCAGCTATTTATGAACTTTTGACACAAATAACTGCTATTCCATTTACAAATCTTAAATTTTTCCTTGACTTTTCCATTTTTAATATATGAGATTTATAAAAATATAAATAATCATGTAAAGAATAATACAGTAAATACCTATGTGCTCAAGAAACACGAACAACAATAAACAATAGCACGATTCTATTAACAGGTGTTTATTCTTGAAGTTGGTGTCTATGACTCCCATGAATGACTTTATGCTTTTACTCCACATGTATGTATCACTAAGCAATATGTAAATTATTTCATTCCCTATGCATTATTCTGCAACTTCCTTTTTTTTGCTCAACATTATTCCTGTGAAATTCATCTGTATTGATCCTAGTACCTCTAGCTCATTCATTTTCACTGCCATATATATTTAAATTGTATGAATAAAGCCACATTATTTATCCATCTCCTGTTTAGTGTATTTTTAATTTTCTTCCAAACTTATCGCTTTTATTAACAATGCTAGCTTGAGTGCTTAGGTATATGTCTTCACTCTACATGTAACTCAGAATAAACTAGATTCATGTTTTCAACCAAAGCTTATTTAAAATATAAATCCTGACACTGCAGGTCTGCAGTGTGGCCTAAGACTGCATCTCTGCTGAGTCCCCAGGTGATACTAATATTGTCAATTCATGGCTCATACTTCATGCCAAGGTTTTAAAGATTGAGAGGTGAAAGTATTGGTAATGATATGCCTAGATTCAACTTTACTA